GGGACGTTTTGTCCTCATTCTCCGCTTGTCTCGGATTCTCCTAATGACTCATTAGATGAGGAAGCATCTCATCTTCGGGCTCACATCCGCAGCGCTGCATCACCACCGGCATCTGAAACAGATTTACGATGAAAGCAGTGATCATACTCGGGGCATCCCGCCAGCCTCAAGATTTTCCACCAGCCTCAGAACAAACACAAAGGCCATCTCTGTCTGCCCTCTAACCTTTATCTTCTGCACGATCATAGCTCAAGGACTGTGTTTTCGATGGTGTGGTTGGTTTTACTACATGCGGTTTCTCTGGATGAATGTATTGTTTGTTTCAGAAATCTACGGGAGACTGCTAGCTTGTGGACGCGGATTGGGTTTGATAACAAGCAAACACGAGATTTGCTGGGGTGAAAAAGGGTGAAAAGAAAGAAAAAGAGAAAAACGTTAATAAAGTAATGAAGGCCGGTCCAGTCGGTGTTCTCATGTTGCGCTGCGTGGAGTTACACGATGGCTCGCCTCCTGCCAAATATGCGCTGAGCTCTCAAAGCTGGTATTACTTAGAGTCGAATTTCAGCGAGTGCTCCGCAACGACCTTCCGACCTAAAAAAGAGAGAGAGAGAGAGAACGAAAGAGAGATTAAGTTGGGTTTAAAGCCTCGGAAGTCTTCAAGCCCATTCCCCACACCAAAAGAGAGACTGAAGACAGCCTGTCACATCTTTAACACCCCATTAAGTGTCAGTGTGGCAGAGAGCCCTGACAAGAGAGAGAGAAAGAAGAGGAAGACACAGCCACAGATACTACTAATCCTGACTGCTTTTTAAAATGCAGGGTAGGGTTGCACCAGCCGCTTGTAAGTCCTAAATGCGGACATAAAGTTCACACTAGGGCTCTAGTAGCTCAACTCTCAATTTAACTGCAATGCACCATTAGTAGTGTGCAGTCTCATAAATTGATGCCTGACTGTATTTATCCAAAAAGTTGTCTTCAGTTTTACATTATACATATAATTAAAATCATAGAAATATGATACATAAATCATGAAACAAATCCATACTAATATATGTAAAATAAAAAAAAATAAAAAGTATTATATACCTATATATTTATTTATTTTGGAAAGGCAAGATGAATGTCTTACCATACTATACAGTAATATTTATTTTTTAAGAATTTAAGAATTTTATTCAGCAAGTATGCATTAAAGCGCTCATATGATGTTGCTAAAAAGAACATTATTTTGTGTATTTGGTGTAATGAAATATGGTTATGCAGTTTAAGGTAAAAAAAACACATTATTTTCCACATACTGTACATTATTGTTTCTCCTCTATGCCCCGCCTTTCTGAAACGCGTCGATTTTTACAAAGCTCATCGGTCTGAAAAGCAAGGTGTGCTGTGATTGGCCAGCTATCCAGTGCGTTGTGATTGGCCGAATACCTCAAGCGTGTGACAGAAATGTTACGCCTAACGTTATAGTAATGTATAGAAATGTTATAGTAAAAACAATGTTTAAAAAGATTTCGAATTTAAATGAATGCTTTTTTAAATGTTCTATTTATTCAAGAAAAGCGTCACGGTTTCCAAAATAAAATATTAAGCAGCACAACCGTTTTCAACAATGATAATAAGAAATGTTTTTGATGGACCAAATCCGCATATTAGAATGATTTCTGAAGTATCGTGTGATATTGAAGACTGGAGTAATGGCTGCTGAAAATCCAGCTTTGAATCACAGGAATAAATTACTTTTTAAAATATATTAAAACACAATATACTTCTACTATATTGTAATAATATTTCACAATATTTCTTTTTACTGTATTTTTGATCAAATAAATTCAGCCTTGGCGAGCACTAGAGATGTCTTACAAACAACATTTAAAAAAATCCTTACTGTCCCCAAACTATAAAACAATATACATGTCACACAAATTACACTCTCACTGATATAATCCAATCAGTCGGTCATATTACTGGCAGACCAACTTAATTACATTCTCCTGGTCAGAGGATTTCATAAATATTTAGTTCATACAAAGGCTTACTTTTGATTTAAGTGTAATGGTCCAGTGATCACATTTTTAGTGGTTGTAATGTAGTTCTCATTTATGCTACGACTAAGCGGAGTTGTAAGTTATGCACAGCTGGAGCAGCCGCCCCAGGTGAATAGATGCAGACTTTTACAGGGGGGAGGGAAAGAAAAAAAGAGAGAGATGAATTCTCATAGTGCTTAAGGTCAGACTGTTGGGCTCTGTAGTGGAACGGTGAAGGGGGCCAGGGGACAGAGGAATGGGGCCGACCTCAGACGGCAGCCAAGAATGGCAGGAAACAACTTGTAAGCATACACACACACCCCATTCATTTAAAGGCCCATAACAGGCGTGCACTGATTTTATCCAGCAGAGAGTGTGTGTACAGTAAGTATAGTGTGTGTGTGTGTGTGTGTCTATCAGTACTGTGTGGGTTATTAGCCGTTTACCTGAGTCACACTGAGCAAAGTCTAGCATTCAGATTTATTGTTCACCGTGCTTTACGCCCCAAGGAAAGCAACAGTTATTTATTAATATTCCTCCTGGAGGAAGGGAACGCGCTGTGCTTCAGAATCTCAACGACAGAGCAAACTCTGGCACTTACAGCTGTTTTAAAGTATTGGATTGACGTCTCGACTGAGCTCAGCTGGAGAGGACGCTAATGGCTTTCTTCGCACGCTGTGTGCATGCACTCACCAGCTTCCTGCTCCTTGAATGAAGGAAAAATCTTCCCTGGCAGTTCGCCTTTTTCTGGCACACGGGTGCAGGAGGCCAAAGGTTTAACACTGGGTGTGTTTATTGTTATTGTTGAGGTCTTTGTATGGGCCTGTTCTCTGCCCTCCACCTTCTGAACTATGTTGTGTTTCCAGAAAACAGATTGCACACTCACTTTAACTTGGCCTCACTGAGTCCTTAGCCAGAAAAAAGCCTGTGTGATGGATTCTTATTGGAATTTCAGTCATAAATGGGAACCAATCCGAAAGAATCCTAATGGGATCAACTAAGAATCCCATAAGATCTTACTGGATAAACCAAAATGCCTACAGGAGTTTTGGATTCTTAATTGATTCTTGCAGTCCATTAGGATGTTGTGTTGTGTATCCATCCATCCATCCATCCAGAAAAGTAGAATAATGCATAGCAGAGTAAATACAATAAAAGCAGCATAGCAGGAAAGAGTATACTAATTATAAAGACAATTGAAATGATTTCTATCTATCTTGTTCTCTTTTTCCTTCTGTCTTTCTTGTATGACATGCTGCATGTACAAGAACATGCTAGTAAAACAGCCCTTTATCTGCTCCATATGCGAGACATGGAATTGATTTCAGGATCATTTACCAGAAATTATGGTGAAAAAGTATAAGCCTTGGTCAGAAATCCATCTCTGCTGTGGCCTGGAGATTATGTCACGTTATAAAGGCTGCAGGCGCTCGGCTGTCTGATGAATGGAGAGGAGAGAGAGAGCACCAAGAACAACAGAGACTCCATCACACACTCACTCTTGGATGATGCCAGACAGAGGGGGGCTGGAGAGGCGGGGACAGAGAGAGAGAGAAGGGAATAAACTATTATTCCTTAAGAAGAAGAAAAAAACAGTAATTTGTTGATTTATCAACACAGTCATGTCAGAAAGCTAAAATTAAAGTGTTTGCTTTAAAAAGCCGTTCATATTTTAACACAGACAGTCATACACAACAACCGAACATATCGTAATGTACTGCGAAACACTGAAAGGCAAAACACCATAAATTCTATACATTAACACATATTATAAATCTTACATGCCAAACTTTATATTTCTTGTAACTCTGGTGTTTAAGTGGCATTTAACCGTTATCCAACAAGTATTCAAGAGAGTGGAAGGAAAATGTGCGGAGAGGTCAAAACCAGCCTGAGGGAGTTGGGTTCAACTTTGGCTTGTTAGTAGATTTTTGAAATCTGAACGGCTTTGTGGATTATATGGATTTTTTTTTTCCCACTGCTGATGAAATTCCCTGTTATTTGACGTGGTGTTTTTTGCTGAATGGTTTTAATGCAGTGATTCAGTCCCTGACTACATTTTTAACAAATCATCAAGAGGTTTCAATTAATTAAATTTAGGTAAATCAGATGGTGTTTGGAATGTACTAAATCCCAGAGCTGAGGCTGGCCTGAAGCGATGGAAATGAGCCAGTAATCAGAGTGTTTTTAGTTCAAGACCCGGCCGGTGGGACTAATGATCTGGATGCTGGGGTTTGACTGGTTGAAATATGGCCTTCACAGACTACTGAAAAACGGCCCTTGAGAAAGGTCACCTTAAAAACTATTCTTAGCCGTTTTCACCCTCCAGCTCAACACCACGTGATCGTTTCTGTGCTTAGAAACTGCCATCTTCAAAGGATACATTTTTTTTAAGTGTTTCTGTAATAAAATGGACAATTAGCTTATGTTGCTGTTTCGTAACTTGAGGTAAACTTTAACCGCAGTTATCTGCCTGTGTGACAAGAAACAACAACCAAAAAGGGGGAAAGACGCGCTCATAAAACTGAATCATCTAGTTTCACATTGCTGTGAACAATCTAGAATTTGAAGAGTCATCACGTCACTGTACTAATGGGACTTTTTTGGTTTTGCCACAGGTTACAGACAGTATCATCTCCAAACAGGCTTTACACGGTGAGTATACGATCAGTCATTTCTCTGTAATCGGCAGAATCACAATTACAGCTTAAAGTACAGTGCTACAGAAACACCAGGAACAATGACAAAAATAGACTGTACCGGAACACAGTGCAGTTCCAAGAACAGGTTCAAATGTCTTGCGCAACACCAGTAAATATTTTATGTATTTGAATGTGCTGATTGTCTACTGTCTGTCTCTCCCTCAGAAGCAAGAGCCATGCCCCATTCATATAATACATCAGGGTCAAAGTTTATGACCACAGTGACACAGCGACCATCAGCCCACCTGACCCTTAGCAGCCTGCCAGGTGAGCTTCTGTGTGTGTGTGTGTGTGTGTGTGTGTGTGTGTGTGTGTGTATATGTATATACAGTACCAACTGAAACTTTCGACATACCCATCTATTCTTTATTTTTACTATTTTCCACATTTTAGAGTCATCGACACTGATCAATTTTGCATAAATAAATGTTAAAAATTTATGAAAAATTAAAAACTTATTAATAAAATAAAATAAATTAAACGGGTCATATGATGCGATTTCAAGTTTTCCTTTCTCTTTGGAGTGTTACAAGCTGATTGTGCATAGATAAGATCCCTGAAGTTGCAAAGACTAAAGTCTCAAATCCAAAGAGATATTCTTTATCAAAGTTAAGACTCTGCCACGCCCCCCTAAAACGGCTCGTTCTAACACGCCCCCACATATCTAGGTCACTATGTGGAAATATTTGCATAATGCCGCCCAAATGTGCACGCAAAGAAAGAAGGCGTGGTTTCAGTAACCGCAGTTAGTGTTGAAGCAGCCATGTCAGGGAGACGCTGTGTGTTTCTAGGCGAAAGCAAAAGCACTTTATTTGGCCTTCCGAAAGTAGATGCATTTAGGAATCTTTAAGATTACTTACAACAGAACAGCAATGCATTTTATGGACGACCGTTTCATGAACCTAGGAGAGGAGGTAATTCTGACTTTGCTATGACAATCTGGCGCTTCTGAATCAGCGACTGTTTTGTTATTAGTTTAAGTATTTGCTATTGACTGTTCAAATGCGGAGTTTTGCGCATCGTGTGTGTGTGCGCAAGCGAGCGAGCGTGAGAGAGAGAGAGAGAGCGCGAGAGAGAGAGAGAGAGAAAGAGCGCGAGAGAGAGCGAGAGAGAGAGAGAGCGCGAGAAAGCGAGAGAGAGAGAGCGAGAGAAAGCGCGCGAGAGAGAGAGAGCGCGAGAGAGCGAGCGAGAGAGAGAGAGAGAGAGAGAGAGAGAGAGAGAGAGAGAGAGAGGGGGCGAACCACAGCTGTCTTAACCGCGGCTTGTGTACTGCACACATACCATGATCTTTAAAAAAGCATCATATGACCCCTTTAATTAAATGTAGTCTAAAAAATAATTTGTCAACTTGAGCATAACCGTAAAGCTTATTTTTTTATCATTTAAACCAGTCTTCAAGCTCTTAAAAATGCTCTGCATTTTTCTTGTGTTCATTGTTCTTTTAGTATCTATATTATAGTATTTATTAATTTATTTATTAATTTTATATTTTCAGTTTTAATTAACGTTTTTGTAATTTTGTTTTGTGTTTAAAATCATGTTTATTAGCTTTGTTTTTTATATTTGGATTTCGTTTATTTCAGTTTTAGCCATTTTAGTACTTATAAGACCTTATTTTATTTCAGTTAGTTGCTAAGGCCAAGTTTTTCCATGTAATATTTAGATCAAAGCTTTAGAACAAAAAGTCTTTAATCTCATAATAAACACATTTTAGTCTGCAATACACTACATGACTTTTGCCCAAATTTTTTCCTGATTTGCAGTCTAGACTAGTCAACGCTAGTTGCTGAAAGTCAGAGCCAGTCTGCAGATTTCTGTCATTTAGCACACAATGCCCAGTTTTTCTCTGTAACCATTTACAAAGTTGCAAGTGTATGATGTCTAGTGTTTTAAAATCTGTTCAGATTTTAAAAGTCATGTACTGTATTCCAGCCAGTACTGTAGTAGTACCATACATGCACATGCTTTATGTGCCTTTCATGTATAAGACCTATCCATCCATCCATCCATCCCTCCATCCTGCCAGGCAGAGGCAGAGCTTCCCTATGTCAAAAAAGCCTGGCACACAGCTGCAAAGAAGAAGCTGATTATATAACAGCTTGAAATTGTTTAGTTATTTAGCTACAGTATAATAATATTACTAAATATCCCAAAATCTTGTCTGTTGCTTTGAAGTTCTAATATAGCTACTTGGATCAAAGACCTATTTACTGCATGCGTGCCAGAAAAAAAAAAGAGATTTATTCAGTCACGCATCCCAGAAGGAAATGAAACCAAGTCAAACCAGCTTTGTTTCTGGAGCACGAGTCGCAAGTCTGACCGCTTAACTGCAAGGGAGTGATTTTATTTGTTACACGTGCATGCATTATTCACTAACCTGTCTGCACGCTACTTGATGATGGATCACATATAGACACTATGAAAACTGCACGTCGTTAACTTCAAAAAGCTGAAACAGATTAATCCACGAGAACATCTACTGTATATTAACCGCTGTGATAGCGGTGGGCTTTCCTACACATCTGTACTTCATGTGTGTATCTCTCTTTATCAACGTTTGTCAGAAGAACGGCCCTTTTAAAACTTTTTGAAGCAGTAAATCAAAGAGCAGGTCTAGCATGTTATTGATCTTCTTTGAGGAATGTGGCTCGTGTTTGAGGAACACGCCGCCTGCTCCTCCATGTGTTCTACACCTCCCTTCCTCCACAGTCTTTCTCTGTTTTTCAGTTTTTCACTCTGTTCGTGACTTCCTCTTCTGTGCAGCCATACCTTCCTGTTCTGATCTCTCCTGTACTCTTAAGACAATCCACCAATCTTTCATTCCTCCCTTTTACCTTATGAATTACGTGCCTTGCCTTAATCGGCACCTGCTCCTTGTCTTGGAACCTCTATTCTTTTTTTCTTCCCTTTTACTACTGTTTTTTTTTGGGGGGGGGTCGAATTATTTGCACATTTCCACATTCAGATTGCCTTTGGCATTATTAATGCTAACTTAAAGTTAATCTTTAAAACACTAATAATTTTATAACACTGTTAAATGTAATCTTTAGCAAATCTCAAAATTAATATTCATTTTTCCTACTGTACGTTTATACTGTTGTGATATCTAAATTCACTTTTAGCATTTAAAATGATTTATGTTAGATTTTATTGATTTATTGGTAACACTTTACTTAAAGCCTGTATAATGCATTATAAAATTAGTTTTAATGCATTAATTATGCCTGGTAATGCACCTTATAATGCATATCATTAATAGTTGTAACCACAGTTAATACATTATAGCACTTATCAATTCATTGTTACACAATGCACTTTAAATTCAGTTATAATTATTCACAGCAAGATATAATGTATTACAATGCACATTATGAATAATTCTAATGCTGTATACCCTTTAATAACCCTTTATAATGCATTATACATAAAGGCTTTAAGTAAAGTGTTACTGATTTATTTTTTTATTCATTTATACAAAATATTATTGAATTTTAATGTCAGTAATTTATCATTTAAAACATGAATAATTATCAGCTTATTGTTATAAGTCATAATTAACATTGGCAAGTCATCAATTAAAAATCCAGCCACTTGCAATGAATGAAAGTCCTGCCCTACATTTTTCTTTTAGTATCTATATACTATTATTATTTGTTAATATTTTGAACAAGCTTTTATTTTTATATTTCCAGTTTTTTTTTTTTTTATTAATTTGCTAAATTGTTAGTAATTTAATGTGCTTTTGTCATTTTTATTAGTTTTTTATATTTCTATTTAGTTCTATATTTTTATTTAGTTGAATTTATTTTATTTCAGTTTTAGTACTCCAACTTAACCTTATTTTATTTCAGTTATTCGGTTTAGTTTTGGTTAACAATAACAACACTGGATAATAGCTAGTTAATAGTGGTTGGGTTAAATGTCAAAATGTTTCACTCAAAAATGCATACTTTACAGAAGTAAAATGAGTTGGGAATGGAGTTTCGTGCTAACCTAAAATCCAACTTCTCCCTTTTTCTCAGGTGGCACTCAATACTTCACCCCTCAACCAGACCTGCACCAGTCCTGCCGCCACCCTGTACGTTCCTGGGCCAACCAGAGCTTCGGCGCCCATCTGCACAACATGACGCTGGCAAACGGACGCCTTCGCGTACCCCAGGACGGCCGCTACTACCTGTACTCCCAGGTGTACTTCCGCTACCCCTCTCCCAGCGAGGGCGATCAGAACAGCGTAAGCCACCAGCTGGTTCAGTGCATCTATAAGAAAACCTCCTACCTGAGGCCAATTCAGCTGCTGAAGGGAGTGGGGACCAAATGTTGGGCTCCAGACGCAGAATATGCACTTCACTCAGTGTACCAGGGCGGCCTGTTTGAGCTGCGAGCAGGCGACGAGATCTTCGTGTCCGTCTCATCTCCCACAATGGTGTACGGCGAGGACTCTTCTAGCTACTTCGGAGCTTTCCGTCTGGACCTGTAAGAACATATCAGAGGAGCTAAACCGGGACTACATTACCCATTGGGTGGACCGTTTCGGGGCTGTGACCCAAAGACTTCATCGTTCAACTTTCCTTTCTTTAAGACTCTTGAATATGTGAAGGATGTGTGAATGAGAGACATTCCGGACCAGGCTGTTTCTCATTAAAAACAGAGGAATGTATGTATATTTTTACAGATCACATCAAAGATGTGAATCTTTGAAACGGTAGCAAAACAGGAGAGACAAACACTCACACAAAGCGAATCTGTGCCAATGGTGTATAGGGTTTGACGTGTGAACTCCACTCGCGGAATATTTTTGTGTACAGCGGATCTAAAACAGTTTTAAAAACAGAGATATGAGAAGAGAATGATGACAGCGGGAATGTGGAGGAAAGAAAAATGAGAGGGCAAGTATGCAGATCTACCAGCCTCAAAGGAGCATCTTGGCAGGTTGCAGGACTGCGGAATTCTCCCCATCCCGTCAGACCAGCGGAGCAACATGCCCGGACAAGAAAAAGACCTAAAACGTTCACATAAACACAGAGGAATTCAGCTTGTTGCATAGATTGCATTTAAGAACACCCATTCTATTGAGTATTTATGGCTTCCGCACATACAAAACACAGCGATAAGATAAAACACATACGTTCTGTCTCAGATACAAATAATTTTTACAAGTTTCCTTCTGCTGTCTGGTCCGGGGTGCAGGAGGAAGTGCTGTCAGGGAGACACGTGCTTCCCGGCTCACGTGGTGCTGGCCATATGAAAGGTTAAATAAATACTACGCTACACGGTTTGTTGAAATGTCGTGCG